ACAATATCAAACCAAAGTAAACCAGGGAAAATAACTCTGAATATCTCTAGTGTAGCATAAAAGCAGTTTTGTATATATATATTTAAACCTGTCTCTTCCAATTCTAACTAAAACATACTTGTAAATATAATTTCCTGCCTGGTTGCTCAAATAAATTTGACTTCTGTTTCAACTTTAAGTCTGCCTAGGTGCCTATTCTGAAGGCAAATTTCTAGAATTTAGAATCTAGAATCTCATACACAGTTCCTTATTTAGGGTGGGAGCTGACAAAGTATTCAACAGTAATAAGGCGGGACAATGACATTATAATAAAATTTAGTTACCACATACGAAGAGTGACATATTGCCTAAAGGCTACCCAGTCAACAAACAGGGAACTGAAATTCATAGTGGAAGTGGAGGGGAAATCTGAGGCAATACAAGCGTGATTATTTTCAGGAGTGCCCGTTTGTTACACCCGCTTTGGCAAGCAACCCCCTGCCAATTACTTTTGTTCCTTCCCATCACTCCTTTGGGGAGAGGGAGGAAAAAAGGCAGCAAAATGTTGTCCATTGAAGCTGCAGTGCCACATCTGGCAATGTAACCTTTAGTGACGTTCCTGTGAAAAGGGGGAGGGAATCCAGTTGCACTCAGGAGACACTGGCATAAGGAGCCCAACAAAACGCACACATAGCATAAGGAACCCAACAAAACACACACACACTGTAGCAAGGCCCACAAAAGATCATACCTTGAACAAAACTTCGTTGGTCTTAAAATGCCTAGTATTTCTCCCTTATGATTGAGGTAACCCAGCAAAGCAAGCTCTCCCTCCCTCCCTCCCTTCAGGGAGGAGCCTCAGCCAGTGGAAGGAAAGAAAGGCTTCCCTTTGTCTCCTGAAATACGATTGAGACAGCCTGGCCAGGAAGCGATCTCTGGCTGGTTCCCTCCCTCCCTCAGGAGGAGAAAGGGGAGGAGCCTCAGCCAGTGCTTTACCCAACTCTCTCAATAGCACAGGAGAGGCTTACCTATCTATCTCTCCTGTGCAACTAAGAGAATCTGGTAAAGCAAGCTGCAACGTAGCAGCAGCAGTGGAACTGGAAAAGGAAGCAGGAAATAGCCAGTTCCACTGCAGGCCTGATAGAAGCCCTCCGAGGGCCTGATCCAGCCCGTGGGCTGCATGTTTGACACCCTTGTTCTAGGAGTCACCAAAAACCCTATAGTTTGGAGCAGGGGTCATTTCGTAGAAAAAGAGGTGCAGGAGCTCATTAGCATAACTTATTAACATATGCCACACCCCCTGACATCACCGGAAGTGTGGCAGAAGGCAACACCCACCACTCAGGCTCTACTGGACTGTTTTGGATTGCGGGGGGCTCTGCAACTTACCTGGCTGCTTCTTGCTCCTCGTGGCCCGAGGGCTGCGGGGAGCAGGGGGCGGGGCTTGTTGCATGTGCCCACTCCCTGGGCTCCTTACTTACTGCCGGAGCTCCGCTCCTGTGCGCTCCCGCAGGAAATGACCCCTGGTTTGGAGTGAATCCTACATCCCATGGCACATTTAGTTATGCAGCCAGAAGTGATGTCACGGTGTCAACAAATGCCATTTCAGTAAGTTCTGCCTCCCTAGTATCTAATATTCCTGAGGGAATTCAGATGGTTCTGTGGTATTTTCTGGTTTATTTAAATTTGGAGGGGGGAAAAACCTCTTTGCTTCAAATGAAGGCATTAGATATGCAAACAACACAATACCAAAAGCTTCTTGACTGCCTAATTTTAAGAGCCCTGCTGGATCAGGCCTGTGGTCCACCTATTCCAGCATCCTCTTTCACATAATTGTCAACCGGTCCTCCCAAAGAACCAGCAAACAAGGAATAGAGGCCAAGGCCATTCTCTGAGGTTGCAAAGAGGCAGAGGGCTTACCCTGCTGTTGTCACCTAGCACTGATATTCAGAGATTTTATTGCTTCGGAATGTTCTGCCTCCTTGAAACTTGCACCAGAATGGTAGTCCCCTTGGGTAGTCAATATGCAGTCAGTAGAGTCAAGCATAGCAGTACATGCTCGGAGCACTCAGGCTAGGGTTGCCAGCTCTGGGTTGGGGAATACCGTCCTGGACAATCTCGGGGTGGAGATTGGGGAGGGTGGGGTTTGAGGAGGGGAGGGACTTCAGTGGGGTATAATGCCATGGAGTTCACCTTCCAAAGTGGCCATATGCTGCAGGTGATCTGATTCGCCTGGAGATCAGTTGTAATAGCTGGAGATCTCCAGCCACCACCTGGGGGTTGGCAACCCTGACATGGAATGGCACCACTTCTTGTGACTTGCTTGCCCTCCTTTGTCGCCACTGCTATTCCAGTAAAGGTTGTGATGATGACTAGCTTGCCAAACATTGTATGCACTTGGAATCTGCGTTGACAGAGCCATGCTCTTGAAATGCACAACTATTGAGGATGACTCCTGGTTCTATACTCCCAAGTTACAACCACTATTTGGATTCTCACTCCCCATTGGACAGGTGGGGAGATATTTGCCTTATTTATACCAAGCTTTAGCTACCTGATTCTGAGTGCATATACTAAATGGCATTGTAGTGCAGATAAGATACTCCTTATGACAGTGATCCCCATGGGTGGCGGGTGCCATAGCGCTGACGACTGGGTTTTCTTGCCCTAGAGATGCCAGGTTCCCAGTGGAGATGGGGAATCTCTCGTCCCCAACTCCTGTTGCCTGCCACTGTTCTGGTGGCGAGCGGGAGAAAATGTTTTAAGAATCACTCTTGGTGCAAGGGCATTATGTAACTTCTGGGGCGAACCCAGAAGTGACATCAGTCTGCTCTGGAATTGCTAGAAGCTCTATGGGTAAAACCATAGCATTTCTGTTGATTCCTAGAACAGTATGATGCCACTTCCAGGTACCCCCCTAGAAGAGATGTAATGCTGTCATGCTGATGGCACACACACCCCGACTCCCACTGGATGCCAACAGCTGGTTGGCATCCCTATCAAGCAACTATTTACTTCTTCTCAAAAGCATCCTTTCCTCAAAGCAAAGAGCTATCCTCCACATAGGGTTGCCATGTGCCCACTGGGGGTGGGAGATCTTCCACTTTCAGTGGGGCTTGCCTACTGGCACTCCAGCAACCAATGGGAGAAAGAAGAAGTTGTCCTCAGCAACGGTATGTGTCACCTTTGGGGGGAAAACCCGGAAGCAGTGTTCCCTCTAAGCTGAGTCCGTGTGAGCTAGCTCACAGTTTTTTAGCCTCTGGCTCACACATTTTTGCCTTAGCTCAGGAAGGATGGCTCCAGAGCAAACTAATTGATGCAGCAGCCAAATCGCTCGCTTACAGCTTTAATACCAGTAGCTCACCAAGTAGAATTTTTGCTCACGAGACTCCACAGCTTAGAGGGAACATTGCCCAGAAGTGGGTTTTTTTACCACTGGGCCTGCATGGAGGCTCAGCAAGACTGGAAACCCTGCTTTAGGATACCCTGTTGTGCACAATACTCTATTGTATTGCCAAGTGAGGCTGGTAAGAAAGGTAGATTTTGCTCTGACTTGACAGTGTGGGTTATGAATGAAGTGGGTGCAACTACAGTGGTACTTGAGGGCTATTTTAAACAGTAGAGCCCCACCTTGGTATAAGCCAGGGAGAACTGCTTCTGTGAGGTAGGCATCCTTTTGAGAAATACTTATTTGCCACGCAATAGCCCGATTGACATATCTTACAGAGTGAACCTCCTTCTACATGAATCCATTTGGGTACTCAAACTTTTGTTTCATTTGGGTACATTATTCGTCCCTCCACTCAACCGCACAACAACCCTCTGAGGTAGGTTAGGCTGACAGTAATTGACCAGCCCAATCCCATCACATCTTGGAAGTTAAGCAGGGTTGGCCCTGGCTAGTATTTGGATGGGAGACCTCCAAGGAATATCAGGAACAGAGTTGTGATGTGGAGGCAGGCAATGGCCAACCACCTCTGAATGTCTCTTGCCTTGAAAACCCCAGGGGGTCACCACCACCAACTGGCCCAAGGTCACCCAGTCTAGCCTGATCACCATTTACCACTGTGTTTTTAGTGTTGTTGTTTTTTTGCGGGTTGCTGAATTTCCTGTTGAGTTTTTTTTCTTTTTTAGGATCATATATTTGATATGTTACTGTTTCATAGTGTTTTTAGCATAAACTGCCTTGAATTTTGGAAAGGCAGGGTAAAAAGATTCTAAATGAAATGTTCAGCATCACTGTAGCATGAAATCTGCAGTTAATCTTAGCTGAATCTGGGCAGGCCTTGCAAATTCATGATATATATATATATGAAATCTGCATATATATATATATGGAATCTGCAGTTAATCTTAGCTGAATCTGGGCAGGCCTTGCAAATTCATGATATATATATATATGAAATCTGCATATATATATATATGGAATCTGCAGTTAATCTTAGCTGAATCTGGGCAGGCCTTGCAAATTCATGATATATATATATATGAAATCTGCATATATCTATATATATGGAATCTGCAGTTAATCTTAGCTGAATCTGGGCAGGCCTTGCAAATTCGTGTGTCCCCCACCATTTAATGGGCTTTGAACGCTCGTTTTATATATATATATATATGTGTGTGTGTGTGTGTGTGCCTGCTACAGATCAGCAACTCCCGGCTTTAATGCACTCTCGAAATGAGACGCCTGAATTCATTCTAGAAACCCTTCCATTTATTTAAATTATAACGGGGGTTTGGAGGGGAGGGCTGAGATCTCCTTGCTCGGGACTTCCAGGAAGCGGTGACCTCAAGAAAACGATGGACCTATTAACGTAATGAACCGAACTTTGCTTTGCAAAAAAATCTGGAAAAGACAGGAAAAAAGATTCCCCGCTCCTGGGCCGCTTTCCCAAAACGGGATGTTTGAAATCCCGGAAGGTGGATTTCCGTGAATTGCAGCTCCGAGATGGATGACTTGACGTGGGCAGCTCTCTGCTCCGCTCCAGGTTTTGCCCTACCCTTGAAAATCCCGAGGGGACAAATGTACGAACTGAAAGTATAAAGAGCCTAGCAACAACAAGAGAGACGAACAGTTATCTGGGGACTGGGGGGTGGTGAGTATTTCGGTTTGCTTTTTTTTTAACGCACACACGGAGGTAGATCTCGTGGCTCGGAGGCTGCAAAACGTCGAAAGACGGAGAGAGCCGCCTGCGATTGCGGCATCTATGGAGGGCTTGCTTGTGCGCCATAGTCTGAAGTTTTTTTTGTTTTATTTTTTAAAAATGTGGCTGTTACATGAAAAGAACCGTTTAGACCTGGAGGAGGAAATAAAAACAAAAACGAAGCAGGGGGAGGGGGGTAAAAAAGCTACTAAAGTGAGCCGCTCTTTCAGTCGATGTTTCCGTCTCGTCTTTGCTTGGCCCTCCAGTGGTGCTTTTGACACCGAGTAAACAAACAGCCCCCCCCCCCCATTTTATCTGCATCACCGGTTTCGTCTGCTTCGGGGGAACCGGAATAGCTAAAAACCAGCTATAAAACAAGAAAAGCTGGCAGTTTCCCGGTAGGATAGGATGGAGAAGCTTCCAGCAGCCACCGGCGTCAGAAGAGGATGGCAGAAGTTTGAAGGGCGGCATGCCAAGGGGTTTACAGTGCCATCCTCCGCCGCGTTGCACCCTCTTCAGTCCGCTGACTTCTGTGAGTTTAGAAGGGTGTAACTCTTCCGAAGATGGCACTGCCCACAGGTGACGCTCCGACCCCAGAAAAGTTTTGTCTGATGAATATTTCTTTGCAGACAGTGGAGCACTCTCCGCAAAAAAGTTGGTGACTCAAAGGCACCAACATGCAGATCTCTCCCCTCTCCACTACTGTGTTAAATGGGGAACCTTCTGAAGTCTTCACCAAGGTGAACATCAGTTCTAGGATATGCCTTATCTACTAAAACCCGAACTGTGCACTGCGGTTGTTCAGGCTATAGAGACCTCAGGGGGTAGATCATCTGTTCTGTGTGCAGAAAGTTCCGTGTTCAATCCTTGGCCTGTCTAGGGCAAACAACAACAACAACGAAAAAGTAGGTGATGGGAAAGATGTCTACCACAAAGCTGTTGCTGGTCAGACTAGATGTGCAGACTTTTTGGTAGACCCAATGATCTGACTCTGTACAAGACAGTGTCAATTAAAAAAGAGAAAGACAACTCCGATTTTTGCACCACATTTTGAGCCCAGAAAAGCTGAATTCCGCAAGTTACATAGTTTATGTAAACTAAGAGAATTTACAAACATTGCTTACTTAGTATACTTTATTTTGGAAGGATGAATTCAGAGGAAAAAATGCAGTGGTGTTCCCCGTCAGCCCACCATGTTCAGTTTACAAGATTTTATGCAGTATGCCCCCCCCCCACTCTCTCAAGGCTAGAAATGTGCTTTCTTTATACACATAAAGAAAACTGTGATTCTCAGGCTTCTCAAACTAAAATTCCATGATTTTATTCTCGCAAAGCACCATGGAACACAGACTGTCTTGATTATTATGACTTGACACGCGCCCAGGCAGGATTACAGTCTCAAAGATATAACTCAAAAATTATGTGTTTTGATTTAGCAGATGGATGCATTCGCTTCCAAAAAAATCCTGGGCCCAAGAATCCGCCTCGCTGTTGATCGAAGGTCAGAAATCCACTCTCGCCTCAAGTTTGGACCTCTGTTCTCAATGGCATCAAATCTTTGTCATTGGTGACCATAGTGGAACACCGTAACTGAAAGGAGATCCCCAGCTGGACCACTTCCGGGTGTGGAACATGCAAAATAACCCTGAACCAGTGATGCATACCCTTCATACCTGAACGTTAAGGGATGAACGCAATCAGGAAGAAGAGATTTTGGGCATCCTGTTTCTGTGTGATGGCGCTTTTTTTCCTTCTCGTCACTCTCCAGGTATCACAGATCTTTAGGACAGCAAGCCGAACAGTGATAAAAGGGAGGAAGACAGTTGTTGTCTGTGGTGGTTGGCAGGTGGGGGGGGGTAGGCATCGTGGTGCTGAGAAGCGTTGTCAATTACCAGCCAACTTATTGCAACCCCGTAAGGTTTTCAAGGCAAGAGACGTTCAGAGGTGGTTTGCTGTGGCCTGCCTCTGCATAGCAACCCAGGACTTCCTTGGTGGTCTCCCATCCCAGTACTAACCGGGGCCTGCTTATCCGAGATCTGATGAGATTGGGCAATCCAAGTCAGGGTGAAGTGGGTGTGCACTGAACTGGGAACACCTGGATATCTTCGGACTAGAAGGGAAAGGGCTTCACTCACACTCCTTCTCCTTCTCCCAGTTATCCTTTACCTGCACTCCAGGCTTCTTTTCCATTTGCCCTTCTTCCCTCTCGCCCTACAAGGTCACCACCCCATGCCCTCCAATCTTTATTCCCATTGCACTGTTCTTCCAGTGCAGAATTCTTATTGACAAGAGGACACATGCCAAAAGTAGCCCGTGACAGGGTAGTAGTTACAGGGTTGGACCAGGATCTGGGAGATCCAGGTTTGATTCCACGCTCTACCTTGAAAGCTTGCAAGGTGATCTTGGGACAGTCTGTCTCTGTCTCTGTCTCTCTGTCTCTGTCTCTGTCTCTCTGTCTCTGTCTCTCTCTGTCTGTCTGTCTGTCTGTCTGTCTCTCTCTCTCTCTCTCTCTCTCTCTCTCTCTCTCTCTCTCTCTCTGTAACCTGCTTCACAAGGTGATTGCAGGGCCGGCCCACACAGAAAAAAAACTAGGCATCTGCCTAGGGGCGCCACCTCATAGAAGGGCGTCGTGGCCTGCCACCCTGCCCCCACTTAAAGCCCCGATCCCCCTCCTCGCGTGCCTGGCTTTGCAGGCGCATCCTCCCAGCCGGGCGAGCGGTGGGCTCCCCAGCCGCTTGGTGGCGTTGCTGGGGAGGCTGGCTTGCATCCAGCTGTGAACCCCCGCTCCAACGCCCCTCCCTCACCAAAAGACCTTCACCGTTTGGGCGCAGCCCGCAGCACTCCCGCAGCTCACCCCAAGCCCTTCCCTAGTGAGCCTGGAGCTGCCCAGCTCCGAAACTTCCCCTTGTGGACGGTCTTCCTTTCAAGCCCAGTGGCGGTGGGGAGAGGGTGGTAAGCTGGAAGCAAAGCAGAGTCGCCGCCAGAAAGTGCCGCTTGCCCTCTCCCGCCCCTGCCCCGCGGTCTCTCTGGAGCTCCTTTTGCAGCCTGGCACAGGGCCCCCCTCCCCTTGAGCGATCCCACCCCCCACATGTATTTGCAGCTCGCCCCCTCGGCCCGCCCGCTGCAGCTCCAGCCCCCGCCCCAAGCCCGCCCCTCGATGAGGGGGCGCGCCAGAAATTACCGGGGTGGTGGTGGTGGTGCCAGAAGGTATCCACGTTTAGTGGGGGGGAAACCTGTGTGGTTGTTGTAGGATAAAACAGAGGAAGGGAAAACAGTGTTGCAAGCTGCTTTGGGGAGGCAAATGGAGTATAAATAAGTAAATATCCTTATGGGGATGTGTAAAACTGTGGCGTGAATTGTTGTGTCCCAGCTTGGCTGCTCGTGGTAGGTGATGAACAGATGTCATGGGGAAGGATAAGCTGATCAGTGATAATCTCTCAATGACTCCCAATGTATTGTGTAGAAACTGTAGGTTTTATAGTGTGAAAATGAGACAATGAATTGTATATAGTCACCAGTGTTCCCTCTAAGCTGAGTTAGTGTGAGCTAGCTCACAGTTTTTTAGCCTCCAGCTCACACATTTTAGTCTCAGCTCAGGAAGGATGGCTCCAGAGCAAACTAATTTATGCAGTATCCAAATCGCTTGCTCACAACTTCAATGCCAGTAGCTCACAAAGTAGAATTTTTGCTCACAGGACTCAACAGCTTAGAGGGAGCATTGATAGTCACATGCAATGAGCTCCCACTAGTATTGACTCTTTATTGAGACGATCTGAGTAAATGCATTTACACTGGGCAGTAAAAGAGGATTCTATTGAAATGTGAGTAGGAGAGTTATGGTTGAAATGAGTATATAAACGTGTTCATCAGAACGAAGTATGTAAGCTAAACAAAAGCAGTCCGTATTGTCATAAGATTTAAATATAACGAAGGACAAGTTTTAATGTTAGGACTTCCTAGGGTTGCCAGGCAATGCTCCCTCTAAGCTGTAGAGTCTTGTGAGCAAAAATCCTACTTTGTGAGCTGCTGGCATGAAAGTTGTGAGCGAGCGATTTGGCTGCTGCATGAATTAGCTTGCTCTGGAGCCATCCCTTCCTGAGCTAGGATAAAAATGTGTGAGCCGGAGGCTAAAAAACTGTGAGCTAGCTCACACTAACTCAGCTTAGAGGGAACACTGTTGCCAGGTCTGGGTTGGGAACCACCTGGAGGGGGCGGAACCTGAGGAGGGCGGGGTTTGGCGAGGGGAGGGACTTCAATGGGGCATAATGCCATAGAGTCCACCTTTCAAAGGGTCCATTTTCTCCAGGCGGACTGATCTCTGCTGCCTGGAGATCAACTGTAATCCCAGGTAATCTCCAGCCACCACCTGGGGGCTGGCAGCCCTACTTGGACTTCCAAATATATCAGGAGCCTAGCAACCACATGTATTGGAAGCATCATGGGCTTTCCTTTCTGACCTCCAGGAAAAAACTGGTTGAATTCAACCCATAACAACATTTGCTAATAAGGAAACTGGATAAACTCGATCATCAGTGACACAAAGTTACATCAGATGCAGGCAGTGGAATTGGCAAACGAGGAATATCGACGTTTCTTAACTGAGAGCTTTGCTATGACTGCTGTGACACATTCCTCTTGCTATGTGTATGTGTTCGGTGGGATAACACTGCAAAAAGGTTCATTTTGCTCATGTGCGCACAGCTACAGCAGCAGGTTAATAAGTTGGCAACCCAAAGCACGATTAACGGTGAAACAGTCATCCAGCTAACCTGACTGTAATCACATGAGAACGATGAAATCCTGAAATAATTTATCCCCATAGGATACCCATCGACTATAGTAGAAAATAGTAGTGGGAGGTCACAGCCCATTGGTTTCTAAATGTTATTGATTAATAAGCTTGAGTACTACATTTAGTATATGGAAAAATACTCAGGCCAAGCTTAATGAACTGTCATAGCACAAGGGGCATGCAGATTTTTTTTATAGCCTCCTACCCCTGTTGTTTTTCAAAGTCCAAAGGTTCAAAGCCCCCTAGTACGCTTTCCTGATTTGATTGTTCCAGCGTGCTGAGATGTTTCAAAAGTCCACTTTAAAATGAACCCCCAATGAAATAGGCTGGAGAAATGATGTGGGTAGGTGTAGGGGAAGCCAATAATTGAATTTTGTTACAAAGAAAACAAGGTTTTTTTCATGCTAACACTTGGCACATATGTACTCTCTTCGTTGTTCAGAATGCTTCATATACATTATTGGGCTGTAATACTTACAAGAGAAGTATTATCCCCCGAACAAGGACTGTGGCTTGCCTAAACTTCTAAAAAGTGGCAAAAAGCATACCAAGGAGGGAAGCCCACGATTCTTTAGGCAGACTCCTTTCTGCAGTGCCTGGCTTAGCGCTCTGCCCTGGCAACATTCCTAAAAATGTCGATGGTTTCAGCAGTCCTTTGTTATGAGTCATTTCAAAATGGAGTCAGCCATGCATTCTCTAAAGTACATATAGATACAGACAGCCATCAATAGTGTCTAGATGGGCATTAGGAAAACAACTTAACTGACTGACCCATCTGACTGTTCTCCTAACCATCTTTGTCCGTCAAAGTACTGAATCTTGCTGTCAAGAAGGTGTTGTCTTGCATAATCTGGGTTTTTCTCTATTTCCAAAAGGTGGTTGTAGAACTTGGAAAATCTGAAAGAATGGAGACGAAAAGCTCGGCTTCACAAAAGGGTGCGTTCAAGGAGGAAGAGCACCAGAAAGTCGTAAGCTTGTCAGAGTCTCCCAGCACCATAAAGACAGCCATGGACAAAGACAACCATCCTGTCTTGGTTTGGTGGTCTCCGCTGACGGGAGAGACTGGGCGGCTTGGCCAGTGCGGTCAAGATGCCTGCTTCTTTACGATCAACAGGACTTATCAGTACAGTCCTATGACAAAAGCATTTCTCTTCTATGGTAAGGAACTAGTTTGCTTTAATTCTTGAGGTGTGTGTGTGTGTGTGTGTGTGTGTGTGTGTGTGTGTGTGTGTGTGTTCAATGCCATCAGATTGCTTCCAACTCATGACGGGCCCTATGAAGGATGTACAAAATGTCTTGCCATTAATAGCCTTGCTCAGGGACCTAACAGAAGCAGAAGAGATTAGGAAAAGATGGCAAGAATACACAGAAGAACTATACAAGAAAGACCTGGATGTCCTTGAGAACCATGACAGTATAATCACTGACCTCGAGCCAGACATCCTGGAATGTGAAGTTAAATGGGCCTTAGAAAGCATTACTAACAACAAAGCTAGTGGAGGTGTGATGGTATTCCAGCTGAGCTATTCAAAGTCGGGACAATTCATCTCATGTTGGGTCTTCCCCTTTCCCTGCTGCCATCCGCTTTTCCTACCATCATTGTGCTTCCCAGTGACTTCTCATAATGTGACCAGAGTATGATAGCCTTAGTTTCGTCATTGTAGCTTTGGGCTTGATTTGATTGAGAACCCACTTATTTGTCTTATTTTTGAGAGGCTGAATGACTTTCTTCCTTTTCTCTTGTGTAGTTCAGCGGCATTTTTTTAAAAAAAACACACACAGCAGAAAATGATAGGCGCCATCTTGGAAGGAGGGGAAGATGGCGGCCTCCGTGTGCCAGTGGGAGGAGAGACCAACGTTACCTCTAAACTGTGGAGTCTTGTGAGCAAAAATTAAAGTTGTGCGCAAGTGATTTGGCGACTGCATCAATTACTTTGCTCTGGAACCATCTTTCCTGAGCTAAGAAAAAAATGTGAGCTGGAGGCTAAAAAAATTTGAGCTAGCTCACACTAACTCAGCTTAGAGGGAACACTGGGAGAGACCCTGTTTTGGCCTTGCGGGTGTTTCCTCATCCCCACCCATCCCCTCCTTCTAGGTAGTGCTTAATTGACAGGCGCCAGAGTTCATGGCTGTCAGGAGAGGCTCAAGGCCTGACTGGGGAAGGCTTCCTTCAGGTGAGCGGCTTTTCGTCGCAGTTCCGTAGATGAGAAGAGGAAGGGATCTGGCTGTATCCAGCAGGATGGTTTGGAAGAGGAGGGGCCTGTTTCCAGGTCCCCCTCAGCATCCTGGCGCCAGCCACCAGGGAGCTTAGGTTGGAAACTATTGAAGGTGGTGACAGAAATCATGATTTCCTAACTTGTTGGATTCTTTTTTTCTTTCTGTAGAAAGAGGAGACAGCAGTGGATGTTTGTTCTTGTTAATTTGCGCCCCCCATTTCGTCCATGGAAGTCAGCGAGGCCTAAGTGGAGTTCTCTTCAAGACAAGCCCGCGAGATAGGTCAGATAGCGTCCTGCCTTCTTTGTGCAGACGAGTTTTCCAGCATCACTGCGTCTGCCTCCTGGTAAAGATCACTCCCAGGGTCATGGGATCCACGCAGAGGAATGGCCATGGTGGTCAGTGAGCTGGAACGAGGAGGGACGGGAAACGAAATCGGCTTCCCTCCCTTAGCAGAGCTTTGTGTGTGAAATGAGAAGGATTTCAACTCCTTGTCCTTCCTCACTCCAGTACCCGCCCCCTTAATCTGCTGTCCCTCCATGCAGGACCCGTGACCCAGGGATTTATCCCTCCGGGGGTCAGTCTCAGCCACAGCAGTGGAGAAGCAGCAGTGGAGCCACAGCCTGGAGAAGTATGTCTTCCAGACATTAAGGGATTAGCTACTACTTGGTTACTTGCTGAAGGTCCACCCCAGTTGCTTTACAGTCATTTGGTTACTAGCCTTTTTTGTTTGTTACCTGCTCCTTTAGGGTTGCCAGCTTTTTTACTGGCTGTGCTCTTGAGCCTTTAAAGGACAAGCTTTAACCATTATTTGATCTCCATGCTAAATACTTGCTGGTCAAGGCACGGGAATAGGGAGCAAAGTTGGCAATCTCTCTCGCTCTGAGAAGGACTCCACTATGAGCATGGCACTTGAAACTGGCAAGTGGATCTCTGGAACACAACAAATGGTTTTAGCTTTTTTTTTTACTGGGCTCCTGGTTTCCAGGGTCTTGACACTTTTGACTGTAACTTAAAATTTCTTTCTGTATCAGTGGGACTGGCTGCCTACATTAAAACAAACACTTAGCAAATACCTAAAGGCAAAGGTAAAGGTTCCCTTGCTCGAAAGCCAGTCGAGTCCGACTCTAGGCTTGCGGTGCTCATCTCCGTTTCAAAGCTGAAGAGCCAGCGCTGTCCGAAGACGTTTCCGTGGTCATGTGGCCGGCATGACTAAACACCAAGGCGCACGGAACGCTGTTACCTTCCCACCAAAGTGGTACCTATTTATCTACTTGCAATTTCTTGCTTTCGAACTGCTAGGTTGGCAGGAGAGCAAATACCTACAGTACAATAAAAGATTTTTTTCGTCCATCTTTACCTTGGGAGCTAGCTCACAGTTTTTTAGCCCCTAGCTCACAAGTTTTTGTCTCCGCTCAGGAAGGAGGGCTCCAGAGCAAACTAATTTATGCAGTAGCCAAATCGCTCGCTCACAGCTTTAATGCCAGTAAGTCACAAGGTAGAATTTTTGCTCACAAGACTCCACATCTTAGAGGGAACTTTGCTGTTATCACTCTTCCTTCACTGCCATATATGACAGATTTCCTGTCTTAAATTTTGAAAAGTGCCCATAATTGAAATTTTATTGTGCCTTTAATAGACCTATTTATTCCTCTCCATCTTATTCTGGTCTGGAGCATATTCTTGTATCTGTAAAGACTGTCCATCTGCTTGACTAAGATTGATGGGAGACAGTGTGAATCTTTCATACTTTTCACCTTGAAAGCGTAGGTCTGTAGAAAGTTTCTCTTTGCACATTCTTCATTTTTTTCCTAATGGTCTCCTGATGTCTTCTGTTTTCCTTTCTCAGAAGCAGGAATTGCTTCTAGTTTGTTTTTAACAATGCCTAAATTGAGAAATGTCCACTAACATAATGTTGACCATCCTTCCCTAGTTTGCAGTGTATTTTTCTATATTATATCCACTATTTCTCTGGCAGATGTATTGCAAATTATGGGGCATCATGTTCTTTCCTAAAAGCCCCCATTCCTGAAATCTAAGTTTGCTTCAACACCCATTGAATAATATACTTTCAAAGCACTCTAGCAATCGTTTGCAACTGAATTTTCTTGTTTCATACAGGAAAATCATGTTGCAGATGATTGCTAAGTGCATCGAAAGTGCATTATCGAACATGTGTGGAAACAGCCTTAATGAAAAGAAAAGGTTGTTTACTTGTTTGTTTTTTAAAAAACCCTGTAGCCTTAATGGTTGCAGTTCAAAGGTCCAGTAGTTTAGAAGCGCAGAACGAAAGTAGATAATTATAACTCCAGTTCTAATGGCTGAAGATTTTGAAACCTATTTCCTAAATCCCTCAGAACTGGTGATTTCCCCCCCCCCCCTGAATTATTTCTACTGTCAGTTTTGGCAGGGCTCCAAAGGAGATGCTCAGTTTGTCAAGCTCAGACTGGCTTTCTTCCGATGGGTGGAGGGGGGGAAACCCCTCTTTTCATAATACCTGTCTGCTGAGTATTCTCTTCATATTCTAGAGCCACATATATATTCATTATATCAATAACCTGAACAGTAGAATCCCAAGGAAAGCCATTGTGTGTATATTTTAAGACATCCCTGACCTGGATAGTCCAGGCTACCTCAGTCTCATCAGACCCTGGAAGCAAAGCAGGATTTGCCCTGCCTAGTATTTGGATGGGAGACCACCAAGGAATGCCAGGGTCACTCAGGAGAGGCAGGTCATGGCAAACCACCTCTGAACATCTCTTGCCACAGGTCAGCTGGGACTTGATTAAGATAAATCAGACTTTGATATATCTAAGGGAGAAAAGTACTTCTTTCTTTGCCTTCTCTGTCCCATGCATAATTTTGTAAACCTTGATGATGTCATCCCTCAGCCATGGTTTCTCCAAGCTAAAAGCCCTAACCTCTTTTACATATGCAGCCTAATTCCATACCTGTTTATTCAAAAGTGAGCTCAACTGGATTTGTGGGGCTTACTCCCTAAGTCAGTGCATATACGATTAAAGCCTTCACATTGATCCTTGGGTTACTGACAGCTGGCCTCTTTTCTGTCATTTGGTCCCACACTCATACTGTGTTTCGCTTCCATATCATCTCAGCCATGTATGAAAATCTGTATTTTGTGGAGGTGTACTGATAAGGAGTTGCGGTGGCTCAAGTGGTTAAGACGCTGAACTGCAGGCTGTGGAAGGTCAGTAGTTCAGCCGTTCGAGACCCGGGTGCCGCATGACGGAGTGAGCTCCCATCTCTAGTTCCAGCTCCTGCCAACCTAGCAGTTCGAAAGCAAGAAATTGCAAGTAGATAAATAGGGACCACTTCAGTGGGAAGGTAACAGCGTTCCGTGCGCCTTGGGGTTTAGTCATGCCGGCCACATGACCACGGAAACGTCTTCAGACAGCGCTGGCTCTTCGGCTTTGAAACGGAGATGAGCACCGCAACCCTAGAGTCGGTCTCGACTGGCTTTCGAGCAAGGGAACCTTTACCTTTACTTTTTATTGATCATATGGTCATTATAGCCCCACATAATTCAGATAGTTTCACATCATCAAGCTGGTAGGCTTGAACTGTAAGCATTTTTGGCAACTATCCCAAAATTTGGGTTCAGACCATTTTAGGAAGCATTTGTTTTGTGTGTTCTGTGTGTTTCTCTCTCTCTGTGTGTGTATAGATTTCCTTGTCGTTAAACGAATGCTCTGGCCTTGATAGCTCAGGTTAGCCCCATCTAATAAGATTTTGGAAGCTAATCAGGGCCAGTGCTAGTTACTACTTGGATGGGCGACCTCCAAGGAATACCTGGGTTGTCACGCAGAGGCAAGCAATGGCAAACCACCTCTAAACATCTCTTGCCTTGAAAACCCCCACCAGGGGTCACCGTACGTTGGCTGCAACATGACGACAAAAACAAAACCAAAAATAATTGTCAAGAGAAATGCTCTTTGTTGTTTTTTTAATCTAGGTACAGACTTTAATATTGATGCCTTACCTCTTCCTCGTAAAGACCACCACGACTGGGCCCTTTTCCATGAGGAGTCACCCAAAAATAACTATAAACTCTTCCAGAGGCCAGCCGTCACCTTGTTCAACTACACGGCAACGTTCAGCCGCCACTCACACTTGCCCCTCACAACCCAGTACCTCGAAAGTATTGAAGCCTTAAAGTCACAGAGGTACATGACCCCTTTGCAAGAGAAGAACAGCTTGAGGAAGAGACTCGCTCCGCTTGTCTACGTACAGTCAGACTGTGACCCCCCCTCCGACAGGGACAGCTACGTGAGGGAGCTGATGGCCCACATTGAGGTAGACTCTTATGGAGCCTGCTTGCATAACAGAGATCTCCCAGAGCATCTCAAGAACCCGGCCTTCATGGACAGCGATAACTTCTACAAGATACTCGCTCAGTACAAATTTGTCTTGGCTTTTGAGAATGCCGTTTGTCAGGATTATATCACTGAGAAACTGTGGAGACCGCTGAAGCTGGGTGTGGTCCCCGTTTATTATGGCTCTCCCGGCGTCACAGACTGGCTCCCCAGCAATAAAAGTGCTGTCCTGGTCGCAGGATTTTCACACCCCAAGGAGCTGGCTCAGTACATCCAGGCTTTGGATAGAGACGACAAGGCGTACGAGGCCTACCTCGAGTGGAAATTAAAAGGCCACATCTCCAACCAACGGCTTCTCACCACCATGAGGGAACGCACCTGGGGAGTGCAGGATATCATGAAGGACAATTACATCGACGCTTTTGAGTGCATGGTGTGTAGTAAAGTGTGGGAAAACATCAGGAGAGAAGCAAAGGTAATGTATAAACTGGTCTTCTGAATTCCAGCCAGGCCGTGGACCCGCAGGGAACTTAAGTCAGACCTGTCAGGTACCAACTTCCCTGAGAACCACTCTGTCGTAGGTAGCAGGTTCCCAGTCACAAATCCAGAATACAGTTTTTGGCTACAGGGGCAGATGTGGGTTGTGCAGGACCCGGGAGAGCTCCCACAAAGGCAGGTGTTGATCTGCTGCCGTCAGACTTTACCTGACGTAGGGTCTGACGATGCATTATGTTGTTATGATTTGTGTTCATTTGTGATTTCTTACTGGGAACTCAACTCCTAGGTGTGTGGGGCCCAATTCAGATTGGGACCATTACATTACATTACATTTGCGATTTATGTACCGCCCTATCCATTGAGGCTCAGAGCGATTTACAGAGACAATTTTCTAAGCTAGGGGTACAATGGTGAGGGGAGGGTACGTATTTCCTAACTAGGCACCTAACCGCAGGATCTTTCTTGGATTCGATGGTGGATTCGATGGTGGGTCTTTTTCCTCAAGGGCGAGGATGTTTAGTGTTAAAGTACGGATTCTCTGCAGTAGCGGCTTTTTTCATGGTGCACAAAGAGGGGCTTCAGCCTTCTCCCTGTGTCATATCCGCAAAACAAAACATCCTTGAGAGGAACCATTTGTCCTCTGTGGGGGCTCCACATGTACTGATGGAGTGTACAGAGGTTTATCCAGTGGGACAAATAGCAGTGCTTGGAGCTGTTTTGGGTCAAAGAAGCCAGCCTAGGGGGAGAGGGGCATAAGTACTCTGTCCCTGCTCATCACTGTCCCGATCTGAATCTAGCTCCACATGCCTGTTGATTGAGTTCACAGCCGGGACCTCTCAAGTCCACTTCTGACAGTGCTCATGATAGACCCAGGCTCCCAAACAATGTTCCCTCTAAGCTATGGAGCCCTGTGAGCAAAAATTCTACTTTGTGAGCTACTGGCATTAAAGTTGTGAGCAGGAGCTTTGGCTGCTGCATAAATTAGTTTGCTCTGGAGCCCTCCTTCCTGAGCTGAGACAAAAATGTGTGAGCCAGAAGCTAAAAAAGTGTGAGCTATCTCACACTAACTCAGCTTAGAGGGAACACTGCTCCCAAACTGTGTAATCATCTAATTAGGCCTTCAGTTCTAATGTCTTCCCGCAGGCCCTGATGTTGCAGGGAGTTTAAAGGAACTGGACCTCTGTTTCAAGTCTCATATTGCAGTGCTGTTGAATGGCTGCAGATTGCACTCTTTATCATTTGTGCTGGGGAGGACCTCTGTTGGGTGGCTGGATTCAAACTCCAGAAAGATTTGGAACTTAGTACCGTTTCCTTCAAAATGGTATTTATGGCTCCAAGTCTTATGAATTTAGAGGTCGGGAGGTCTCGGAGCCAGATCACAACATTGCTAGGAATATCACAACATTGCTAGAAATATATTTGTCATCTGACATGGAATTAAGATGTTTAGGTAATATTTTTATTTAATTTGCCCTCTTGTTATGTAAGTCCACCTATAATGGTAAAGGCCTGTATACAGTCGAATCAAAAGCATTCATTTGTTTCACATGTGCCACTGAGATATTTACTAGGTGGGCAGTCCAGCAGCTCCTGATGTTTGGTGCCCCCGTGTCCTTGAACTTGAACTTCAGGCCTTTGATGCTGGAAACCATACAGTTCAGTGACCGCTTTTGAACATTTCTATCTTAGAAAGACTGGGTTTCTCAGGAGAGGAGAGTGTACCTTAGGACAGAGTTACAGGTTTAAAAAAAAATCTAGTTTTGCTTGTTCAAGCATGTTAAAAAAAAAGTTTTGTCCAAATAGTTTTTTCTGGACTCTTACACCACTGTTCCAGACAAAAATATACTAGTCAGGCAGTTGTATCTTATAGAAAAGCTCAAGCAGCGTCCATATTCAAGTGACTTTCTATATAATCTTAAACAGAGTTCCATCCTTCTCAGTCCCATTGAAGTCAATGAAATTAGAAGGGTATTACTGTGTTTTGGATTTCATTGTTGTCTCTTCCGTATTATCTACATTCTAGTTGTGAAAGAAGCCACTAAGAAAAGGCCACCAAGGAAATATATCTGTGCATTGGTGTTTAATGGGTGGCCATGACCCAGGCCCGTAGCTAGAGTGAGGCATCTCGGAGCCCCCACCCCACCCCCCGATTTACCATCCGGGCCTCCCAACTTCCCATCCAGCTGGTTTATTTTATTTTTTGTGCGCACAGTAGTCGTGCCATCGCCATGCTTTACTCTCTCGTCGCTCCTGACACAGCCTGGGTGTGTGTGCAGGGGTGCCCCCGACTTACTTAAATGCCCCCCAAAGTCAAATATTCTGGCTACAGCCTGCCATGACCACTGACTTAAGCTGGTATGCTCACCACACACAACAGTTATGCTGTATGTAAGTACAGTGCATGGCACAGATACCACAAGGTCACTTTAGTAAATGCTTTATAATAATATTTATTGACTGAAGCTTCAGGAGAAGAAAACATGCCAGGTGCTCTTTGATCCACAGAAGTTGCGGTTGAATATCTTTTTGTAGCTTTGGAAATCCGTGCTAAAGTTCTGGTGCCTGTTGGTCGGTCTTGCACGTCTAAGTTTTAACTTCACATTCTTTAAAATCAGTAGGATCAAATGTGTCTTCATTATTATTTGTTTTCTTGATATGCTTAATACGGATTAACTTTGTTTCTGTGAGAAGCAGTATCCACTAATGGTGAAATCCTGCAGCCAGTGAGCTTTGAGCAGTCCTTGAATAAAGCGGAATAAAGTTTGATCCAAAAGTCAGAGCTATCGCTTGGAAAAGTGTCTTGCATTGATGACAGAACTCCCCCTTTTTACTTTGTTGAAGGGGGCAGGAGAGAGAGAACTCATTAGAATTTTTTTTAAAAAAATGTGTATATATATTATATTTCTATTTTTAACAGACTCTTAGTGGCCTCCCATCCTGGTTACTGATCAGGTCTGAACGTGTTTAAGCAATGATAAACTGTGTAGTATCAGGTTCTCTCACCTGGCCCAGCGCATAGAAAGTTAGAACCAAATCCCATGGTTGAAGTCCAAACTGGATCTTGAGAGGCTAAGAGATCACTGTGTGGAAGTAACAGTTTCTCAGTCCCCAAGCCTTCCACCCTACATGCTGCTTAATAAAACTTACATAGCATTTCTCTGTCCTTTCCGCCAGGGAATGTTACCGAGAAGATGGAATGCGGAAGCCAATCACCTGAGCTGCCCCAGACCTGAAGTGTTTGTTTTTTCATCTTCAAACACTCACAGAACGGCTCTACAGGACATTTGGATACCGAGTTTCGAGCAGTCCAAGAGAGAAGCGAAAGCCTTGAGGCAGCTGGTCGAAAGGAACCGAAATTTCACAGCGCAGGAATTTTGGACTCTGGTATTCAGGGAATGACTTGAAGGCACCTTGACTCCAGCTAGGGAGGGGAAACAAAAAAAAGCCAACCTGCAAAAGAGCTTGTAGGGTAAGCCATTGCCTATAGATGGCCTTAATATGCTAAGGAGTGGTTTTAGCAACAGAATGTACTAGAAGAAAATGTGGTATTCAGTGAATACTAATCTGGAATAGAAACGACCCAATTCGGTCACTGTCCGTGATGTTTTTATACTAATACTAGTATAAATTATGAGCATAGTTAACACTGGAGCACATACACCATAATTACGTAGACTTTGTCTTTCACTTCATGGCTGCTTCCATCATGGAGATCGCTTCCAAGGCGATCCTGATATAAAGACATCTGCCCACATGGTGTGTTTATAAACCACCCAAGTGATGGACCTTGCACGTGAACAAACATGACAAAGATGCTGGGAAGTCAAACGACGGAGGGGGGGGGCAGGAGTCTTTACCTGAATCTGGTCTGACAAAGGGCAGCTACAATCCCCCTGGGAAAGATATGTGGTAAGGGGGTCTCAGAGAAAATGCCTCATCTGAGGCATTTAATGTGATCAGCATGCAAGAGCTGATCAATAGTATTGAAACTGCTGGTAACATCTGTAAAGTAGAACCACATGTTGGGTGATTGATGCGGTTCCTTTCCTATACCGTCACTGCTGATCTGGGGTGGATCGTGGGTGCAAGAAAGAGCCACGTCTTTCTCCTGACCTTCATACTGCTTTAGGGAGGGAAGTCGGCACGGTATAGTCTGGTCTTGTCAGATCTCGGAAGCTAAGCCAGGTCTGTACCTGGAAGGGGGACCACCCCCACGAAGACTCTGCACAGAAAGGCCAATGGCAAGACTCCTCTGCTTCTCACTTGCCTTGAAAGCCCCTTGCTGGGGTCGCCATAAATCAGGTTTGACTTGACAGCACTTTACACGCACACACTAGGGGAGTCAGTGTGGTGTAGTGGTTAAGAGTGATGGACTCTAATCTGGAGAACCGGGTTCGATTCCACCCTTCTCCCCTTGAGGCCAAGCTGGGTGACCTTGGGTCAGTCACAGCTCTCTCAAACCCCCCCCCATAAGCCTAGCTCACTACATAGTCAGGCCCGTAGCTACAGTGGGGCATCTTGGGGCTAGGCCCCCTGACTTACTGGCAAGGCCCCCTTGACTTCACATCCAACCCAGGGCCCACAAGTAGTGGCGGATGCAGGGAAGGAGCCGGGTATTCCTTTAATTCGATTAGCCAGTGTCCCCCTAAGAAATTCAAATGCCCCCTGACTAAAAAAATCCTGGCTACAGGCCTGTACATAATGCTAAAAAAGAGCTCGAGCTTCAGGCTGCCAGACAATCCTAGGATCTCCTGGCTATACCACACACAATGTCATGCGATAACTTAATTTTTAAGTTTTAATTTAGCACATGTACTGTTTGGTAGAGGTTATCTGAGCAGCATGGGACCCAGCTGTGTTGCATGAATTTCCCATTTGAGGAATAAGTTCTCTCTTTGCAGAGGCACATTTAGGCAGGAATGCCAATTTCCCCTCTTTCAGGGCACCTGTGTCATTTATGGAGGCATGGTGTAGTTGAAACCCACACATGGCTGGGGAGTTCATCGAGTGACCTTGAGCCCGTCACTCTTCTTTCAGCCTGACCTGTCTCCCAGGGATGTCCCTGTGTGGGCAGAAGGGAATGTATGCCACCCCCGGTGGGAGGGTGGCATCAAAATGTACAGTGTTTGGGAGGTGAACTGGAAATTTCAGGAGATACTCAGGGACTAGATGTGCCTAGGCAGGATGCAGAAAGGAATATAGTCCACTTTGATTGGCAGGCAGTATAAGGCTTCCGGATTGCCTGGCCAGGTATAAGTCTCGTATCCGTTGCACTCAGACTGCAGCAAGATCATCAATTTTCAGGGAGTCTCGGTTGGAAAGCGCATATTACAGCTAGATGGAGCTGGGCCTTGGTATAGGATGAGAAGAAATGCCACCGGCGAAACTTTCTGCATGCCGTGTGTCCGGGCCAGAATCTGAGCAGTGTGCCGATCGTAAAAAATAAAAAAAGAGAAGGAGTGTTCTCTTCCTACTGGTTACTGAATTTCTGCATGCCACCAGCTTTTAAAAGTGCAGGAGGCCAGCCAGGAAAATAAGTTGGCACCCCTTCCCTTATAATTAGATGCACGATAGGACAGGGTCCCACTTCTGCACCACGTGCAGGCCAGGTTTTTTTCAAGGTCAAGGCCTTGCCGGGGGGGGGGGGGACAGAAGATGGGGGAAAGCGGTATGTGGCAAGGTGTTCATCCCTGCACTGACCAGCTTCTGTGATTAAAGCAGTGCAGGCCTGTCCTCTGTCCCAAAACACACACACACACACACACACACACACCCCGGACAGGTGGATATCTTCTGAGTGCTCCCGTTGCTCGGCATGTTTGCCCATCGGCAATCCCCTTGGCATCAGCAGTTTTAGCTGAAACTTGGCAGGCTCAAGTTTCCCAATGCTGAGCAAGAAATGTAAAACGCATTAGCGCTTGGCACCTGTATGCTGAAGCCCAGGGACAGATTTAAAGTAAGGGGGGGGGGGAATGTTGGTTAAGATTCACCCCGTGTCTGCAGTTTAAAAATGGAACGGCGAAAGAGGCCCCATTTCAAACCCTTCGGGGGCTCGCTCTCTGAACAGAGGTCTCCTAGGATTCAGCACTTTTTCTCCTGTTAATCCAAGCCCATGTAATTTGTGACCTGTGAAGTTAAACACAACTCCCATGTGTCTTGCGCGAGGGCCGTCAGAAACCTCCTGCCTCGAAACTGTAAGAACAGAGGGTGGCCAGCATTCAGCAGGCTACAGTCCATGGCTGGTGTATTTATCTTGCTGATACACAAGTCATGCAGCTCTGCATTAATAGGAGTGAGGGGAAACATGGCAGGGGAGGGGCTGTGGCTCTGTGGTGGAGCATCCGCATGGCACACAGAAGGTCCCAGGTTCCACCCCCAGTGTCTCCAGTTGAAGAAAGCTTGGGGAGTAGGTGAGTAGATGGCCCAGGCTTGACCTCATCAGGTCTTGGAAGCTAAGTAGGGCTGACTTTGGCGTGGGTAGTAGGTGAGAGCCCTGACCTGGATCGCCCAGGCTACCTTGATCTCATCAGGTCTCGGAAGTAGGCTTCCCAAGTCCCCCCAGGGGGCGGGGAAATCCCCGCCCCAGAGGCCCGTTCCTTGCCGCTGGATTGGGCCCCCGGGGGAACTCCACCCCGACGTGCACGTCCCCCGGAAGTGACGCGACAACGCCAGGCATGCTGGGGGCGGGGCCACGGCAATCTGAGGGAAAACTCTATGGTTTTCCCTCGCATGGCCATGGCCCCGCCCCCAGCGTGCCTGCCGTCGTCACGTCACTTCTAGCACACACAAGACGCCGGCCGGGAGCCCCCCGCTCCGGCAGAAGATCGACTTGGCAACCCTACTCGGACTTGGCAACCCTACTGGTTAGTGCTGGGATGAGAGACCGCCAAGGGAATCCAAGGTTGCTACACAAAGAAGAAGAAGAAGAAGAGATTGGATTTATACCCCGCCCTTCACTTGGAGTCTCAGAGCGGCTTACAAACTCCTTTCCCTTCCCCTCCCCACAACAGACACCCTGTGAGGTGGGTGGGGCTGAGAGAACTCTGACACAAACTGCTCTTTTTCAAGGACAGCTGTGCCAGAGCTTGTGACTGACCCAAGGTCACATCAGCAGGTGCAAGTGGAGGAGTGGGGAATCAAACCCGGTTCTCCCAGATTAGAGTCCGCACACTTAACCACTACACCAAACTGGCAGGCTATGGCGAACCACCTGTGTCCGTCTTTTGCCTTGTAAGTCCTACGGCAAGCCAGCTGCCACTTGGTAGCGCTCTCCACCCCCAGTAGGGGATAAGAAAGGGCTCCCTGCCTCAGACCCTGGAAAACTGCTGCTAGCTTGATTAGACCAACCTGGCCTTGATGGACTGGTGGTCTGAGTGAGTGTGGAAGCCTCATGTGTGTGAACGTTAATCATGTTGACTGTGTCAACCAAGTAAGGTTATAGGTTGGCTTCAAGATTTCCAGGTTTATAAAATTATGTGTGGGGTAGAGAAAGTAAATAGAGGGAGCTTTTTCTCCCTTCTCCCTAATACTAGAACTTGGGGGGCAACAGGTACAGGACAGACAAAAGGAAATACTTCTTAAGTAATTGCGGCGTTCACTGCTAGTGGATGCAGTGTTGGCTATGAGAACAGATGGTTTTAAAAGGGGATTAAAGTGTTTCGTGGTGGCTCAGTTGGTGGCTGTCTAGCTATGGTGAGTAAAGGGAACCTCCACATCCAGAGACAGCCAACCTCTGGCACCCACTGCTAGGAGGCAGCATAAGGATTGGCCACTGTGTGAGAGAAGATACTGGATTAGATGGACCACTGGCCTGATCCAGCAAGGTTCTTCTGATGTTCTTATGTTCATCTGGTACTGGAGTTCAGCACAACAATATTAACAGGATATTGCATTTTGTACAGTCCTGGTCAGCAACTGGATTTCATCAAGGACCACCTTTGAGAGTAGAGACAGGTGATGGGGCCAAGGCCCAGGTTGCGAAAAAGTGCCTCACCAAACCAAGATCAGGGCACCTTTTGTTCTGCATCTTCTGTTTGGAAATAGCACTCTGTCACCTGGGCTAGGAGAGAAAGCGGCATGGTGTATAGCCCGATCTCGTCAGATTTTGGAAGCTAGGCAGGGCTGGTACTTGGATGGGAGAACCACCAAGGAAGGCTCTGCGGAGGACAGAAACGGCAAACCTCCTCTGCTTTTCAGTTGCCTTGAAAGCCCCTTGCTGGGGTCACCATAAGTTGGTTGCAACTTGACAGCACTTTACACACACACACACACACAGTTTGGGCTGTTTGCAGGACAAAGAGGTGGGCAGTTGCCTGTGCCTCCTTTTGGAAGTGGGCCGAATGGATTTTGTAGTGTGCCCCTTGTCAAGGCAGATAATCTGCCTCTTCAGAAGTGTAGCAACCAACTTGGCCATCTTGGGGGTCAGCAGGGGTGCTATACAAGGAAGAGGCTCAAGGCCCAGTTCTTTTAGAAGAATGTAATGGGGAGCAATGTTCCCTCTAAGCTGTGGAGTCTTGTGAGCAAAAATTCATGAGCTACTAGAAGAAGAAGAATAGATTAGATTTATACCCCGCCCTTCACTTGGAGTCTCAGAGTGGCTTATAAACTCCTTTCCCTTCCCCTCCCCACAACAGACACCCTGTGAGGTGGGGGGGCTGAGAGAACTCTGACACAAACTGCTCTTTTTCAAGGACAGCTATGCCAGAGCTTGTGACTGACCCAAGGTCACATCAGCAGGTGCAAGTGGAGGACTGGGGAATCAAACCCGGTTCTCCCAGATTAGAGTCCGCACACTTTACCACTACACCAAACTAGCATGAAAGTTCTGAGCAAGCAATTTGGCTACTGCATAAATTAGTTTGCTCTGGAGCCATCCTTCCTGAGCCAAGATAAAAATGTGTGAGCCGGAGGCTTAAAAACTGTGAGCTAGCTCACACTAACTCAGCTTAGAGGGAAGACTGATGGGGAGACCCCTTAAAGACAGGTCAATCAAGGCAGCTACAGGTGGGGGCCAGGCAGCCCAATTGGAAGTATCCTTGTTCAGCCTCTGTGTGTGTGTGGGGGGGGGGCTGGTTCATGTAGGGGGGTTACCCTTGTGTGTCCTCTGGTGAATTCCTGATCAACTGCAGACTCAAGTGCACCTAAACCCACTGAAATCAATGACCATCTAATGTTGCATATAAGATCACACTGCAAACCAGAATGCTTACAGCTCGGCATACCGATTCAATGGTTTCCTGGTTGCAGCCTAAAAGCGTTGAGTTCTGCAGATGTATCATCACCATTAATTGTACTTTGCTACCTTA